GGGAGGGGGGTGAGTCCCCCGCGCACAGGGCAGCCCTGCCTGGCCCCTTCTCCTGCCCACGGCTGGGCTGGGAGCCCCAAGCATGCTTCTCTAACCAGACGTGGTGACTCAGCCCTGGGAGGGGGCTGGGGGCTGGGAAACCCCCTCCGGGGCTGCATGAGAGGGAGCTGCAGGGGCAGGGGGGGATGTGGGCCTGGGGCAGGCTGGGGTACAGCTCACCGCCTTTGGTGTCTGCTCACTGCAGGACAAATGGGTGCTCAACCATGAGGACGTGCTGCTGGGGGAGTGCATCGGCCGGGTGAGTCGGGGTGCTCTAGTCCCTGCCTGCGTTGGGTCTGCGGGAGGACAGGTCTGTCCCACAGGGTCTGCAGGAGGGCAGGGCTGTCCCCACGGGGTCTGCGGGAGGGCAGGGGTTGCCTCAGGCCACACCGCGGCAAGCTGGGCCGGTGCACCCATGTCTCTCGGCAGGGTAACTTTGGGGAGGTGTTCAGCGGCCGCCTGCGTGCTGACAACACCCTGGCTGTGAACCTGCCGGGAAACCCTCCCACCCGATCTCAAGGCCAAGTTCCTGCAGGAAGCCAGGTCTGTGCAGCCATCACCCCTGTCCTGGCCCATCTGTCCGTCCTCAGGACTTGGGGCTGTTCAAACTCTGCTGGGATTGCATCATCCTTGTGCTGAGAGCTGTATCCCCAGGCTGGCCGGACAGAGCGTCCTGGGGATGGCACAGAGGTGGTCTGTGCCGGGGGCAGCCAGGCCCCCGCACACTCACGGTGCTTGTCCTTGTCCCCACAGGATCCTGAAGCAGTACAACCACCCGAACATCGTCCGGCTCATTGGAGTCTGCACCCAGAAGCAGCCCATTTACATTGTCATGGAGCTTGTGCAAGGTGAGTGGCCCCGTCCTGCAGCCCCTACACTGCCAGGGCAGCCGGTGCGTGCGTGTGCAAGCTCGCCACGGCGTGCCAGGGCAGCCGCCCACCAGCTCTGCAATCCTGAGTGCAGGGGGGGACTTCCTGAGCTTCCTGCGCAGCGAGGGGCCCCACCTGCGGGTGAAGGAGCTGATCAAGATGACAGAGAATGCTGCCGCCGGCATGGAGTACCTGGAGAGCAAGCATTGCATCCATAGGTGGGCTCTGGCAGGGTGCCGGGCAGGGCAGGGTGAACCCCGGAGCCCTCGCTGCCCCCTGTCCCATGTCAGGCGGAGGCCCCTGTTGATGGCCGGGCATGCGGCTGACAGCTCTGGGCCGTCCCAGGGACCTGGCTGCTCGCAACTGCCTGGTGACAGAGAAGAACACCCTGAAGATCAGTGACTTCGGGATGTCACGGGAGGAGGAAGATGGCATCTACGCCTCCACAGGGGGGATGAAGCAGATCCCTGTCAAGTGGACCGCCCCCGAAGCACTCAATTATGGTATGGTATGGAGCCAGACACGGCCTGGCAGTCCCACGGCACAGCTGGGAGCTAGGAGTCTGGGGCACACCGTCCTGCTCCCATGCACATGGTCCTGGGGAGCTAGCAGGGACGGGGGGGCACCCCAGCCCTCACGAGCACGGGCACAGCCAGGGCAGCGGTGCCATGGGTGTCCCCAGCCGCCAGCATCTGTCCCTCCCCATGTCCCCAGGCCGATACAGCTCCGAGAGCGATGTCTGGAGCTTCGGGATCCTGCTGTGGGAAGCCTTCAGCCTGGGTGCCGTCCCCTATGCCAACCTCAGCAACCAGCAGACGCGAGAGGCGGTGGAGCAGGGTAAGGGACGTGGCTGGGGTCCGGCTCTTGAGGGCCACTGCAGGGTCGTGGGCCCAGCACTGTGGGTGCGCCGTGGAGCCGTGCCCACGGGACGGGCAGGATGGGGCTGTGGGGGGCGAGGGGCCGGTGGCCCGGGCTGCCGTGTCCCCATCCCTGCCACTCCCCCGGCGTGCCGCTGGACAACCCC